AGGAAATAAAAGGTTTGATTAAATTAGTTCATGCTCAGTGTCAATTTAAAAACATCCTTATATAAGCAACAATTATTCTATTGTCCGTTGTGGGTAACTAAATGCTGAAGAGAAAATTAATTTTTCCAGAAATCATGAAGAGCGTAGAATTTTCTGCATGACTCTGTTTACTCCCAACTCTAAGACCATTGGAAACCACATTGACAGTATTTATATAATTTAACATTAGGATTCCTTTGCAGTTTCTAATGATCTCGATCTTTCTATAAATGTAATAGTTGTAAACAGCTTTAACAAGGAGAAGCAATACTTCCGCCATTGAATTATATAGCTCAAACATTATTTGTAAGGTATTTCATGACTAGTCCTTAAAAATAATAATGTTATTCCTGATGCTATTTTAGCATAGCGGTGGCTAGTTCATGCTAGAGAGACTCTATCTTTAATCCAGATTTGTGGACCTAATCTATTATGTTAGCGCCAAAGTATACTCTCTTGTTCTCATCACAATAAAACTGCTAATGATTTTGAGATGACATCATCACAGGCTGTGATATTATTCTTATTCTTATTCTTATTATTTGATACACAACAAGATTAGTACACAGCAAACAATGCTGGCTTTTGTATTGGATCACACGTCGGACACTTCCCAAGTGTCTAGGACTGTGTGATATATCAGCAAATAATGTGTGCAGGTCCGAGTAGGGTGGCCTTTTGCAGCTGACAGATGGTAATTTTGTCAGTGCTGATTGTATTTAAGTGCAGACCAAGGTCTTTAGGCACTGCACCCACTGTGCCGATCACCACTGAACCAGCTTTACTGGCTTGTGCCAGAGTCTTTGCAGTTCAATCTTTAAATCTTCATATCGTGTAAGCTTCTCTATTATTATTATTTGAAACACAACAAGATGAGTCCACAGCAGACACTCTGCTGGCTGTTGAATTGGATCACACGTCGGACACTTCCCAAGTGTCTAGGACTGTGTGATGTATCGGCGAATAATGCGTGCAGATCCCAGTAAGGTGGCCTTCTGCAGCTGGCAGGTGGTAATTTTGTCAGCGCTGATTGTGTTTAAGTGCAGGCCAAGGTCTTTAGGTACTGCACCCAGTGTGCTGATCACCACTGGGACCACCTTGACTGGCTTGTGCCAGAGTCTTTGCAGTTCGATCTTTAAATCCTCGTATGGTGTCAGCTTTTCCATTTGTTTCTCTGCAATCCTGCTGTCACCTGGGATTGCGACATCAATGATCCATAATTTGTTTTTTAACACGATTGTGAGGTCAGGAGTATTATGCTCCAAAACTCTGTCTGTCTGAATCTGGAAGTCCCAGAGGAGTTTGTTGTGTTCATTTTCTGTAACTTTTGCCGGCTTGTGATCCCACCAGTACTTTGTCACAGGCAGATGGTATCTGTGGCACAAGTTCCAATGAATCATCTGAGCAACGGTGTTGTGCCTCTGCTTGTAGTCTGTCTGCGCGATCTTCTTGCAGCAGCTCAGGATGTAATCTATTGTTTCATCTGCTTCCTTGCAGAGTCTGCACTTGAGATCTGTTGTCGACTTTTAAATTCTGGCTTTGATGGCATTAGTTCTAATGGCTTGTTCTTGGACTGCCAGAATCAGGCCCTCCGTCTCCTTTTTCAGAGTTCCATTTGTGAGCCACAGCCATGTTTTTTCTTTGTCAATTTGGCTCTCAATTTTTGCCAGGAAGTGTCCATGGAGAGCCTTCTTTTACCATTTTTCTCTTCTGCTCTGGGCAGGTAAAGTCTTCTTCTTCTTCTTCTTCTTCTTCTTCTTATTATTATTATTATTATTATTATTATTATTATTATTATTTATACCCCACTATATCTCCCTCACAGGGAGATATACTCCGACCTATATGCTTGTCCACAATGCCCTGCCTCATGTACAGAGGAAGAATTGTTTAAAGCTACACACAATGCGGTTGCTGTTGACCACTTTTGATCAAAATTATTTAGTTGCTTATGCTCCTATTTTTATCAGTTTAATACTTATGTATGCAATGCTTTTGACATGAAATAATAATCAAGAAGCCATTCCAGTTGTTCTCCTAAACTGGTCTCTTATTGCCAACAAAGCTTGGATATTACAGAGGGACATATGCAAATTCTTGGCTTGGCAAGAGGGTGGAATGGATGGCTCTTTGAGTCCCTTCAAATATACACTTGTATGATTGTATGTAATTTCTCTTCTTGTTGTGAGCTGGACAAGGAAAGACTAGTATCAAATATGCAGTTCAAAAGAACTGGGATTATCAGGGGCAGAAGTTATATGCAATTACCATGTGTAAGAAAAAGGATTATAAGCCAGGGATGGCAGGCCACTGAAATAAGCTTTGGTCCTTTGAGCAGCATATGATTCATGACTTAACATTTCCAAATGCATTACACAAAGGTATGGCATTACCAAACACAATCACTAATATATATCTATATCTATATCTATATATAGTTATTTCCTTCTCATTTGCATCACAAGTCACCTATGAAGCAGAGTTATCTCTAAGCACCAAAAATAGATTTTAAATCACCAGAATGGCTCAAATTTAACAATTGCTGGTGAGCCTTGCTACTTGCTCCTGTATTTACCTGCATTGATTTAGCAGGAGAACATTTTGAGATGTGAGATAATATAATAATTGTACCCATAAGAAAAAAATTAAAAACTTTTTTTTCATGTCAGGAGTGACTTGAGAAACTGCAAGTCACTTCTGGTGTGAGAGAATTGGCCATCTGCAAGGATGTTGTCCAGGAGACACCCGGATGTTTTACCATCCTGTGGGTGCCTTCTCTCATGTCCCTGCATGAGAAGCTGGAGCTGATGGACAGGAGCTCACCCCCACTCCCCAGATTCTAGCAACTGACCTTTTGGTCAGCAGTCCTACCAACACAAGGGTTTAACTCATTGTGCCACCAAGGGCTCCCTATCTCAAAAACTGAACTAGCATATTATCACCTTATCAGTAGTTGGTATGTAAAAAGCATATAAGGTATGTGTAAGTGAATAGATTGGGTGTGTGTGTGTGTGTGTATGGTCTGTTAATTTTGAGTGACGCCATAACTCAAAAGCCACTGGATTAATTGCGCCAAATTTGGCCACAAGACACCTACTAACCCAAGGAGTGACTATCACTCAGAAAAAATGATTTTGTCATTTGGGAGTTGTAGTTGCTGGGATTTATAGTTAACCTACAATCAAAGAGCATTCTGAACTCTATCAACGATGGAATTGAACCAAACTGGGCGCACAGGACTCCCATGGCCAACAGAAAACACTAGAAGGGTTTGGTGGGCAAGGACCTTCAGTTTTGGAGTTGTAGTTCACCTACATCCAGAGAGAACTGTGGACTCAAACACCGAAGGATCTAGACCAAACTTGGCACGAATACTCCATATGCCCATATATGAAAACAAATGGAGTTTGGAAGAAATAGACCTTGACATTTGGGGGGTTGTAGTTACTGGGATTGATAGTTCACCTACAATTAAAGAGCATTCTGAACCCCACCAATGATAGAATTGGGCCAAACTTCACACACAGAACCCACATAACCAACAGAAAATACTGTGTTTTCTGGTGGTCTTTGGTGACCCTTCTGACACCCCCTCACGACTCCCCCAGGGGTCCCAACATCCAGGTTGAGAAATACTTCCTTAAGACTATCCAGTTCAACCAGGGCAAGGAAACAATCAAAGCCCTCCTGACAAAGAGCCATCCAGCCATAGATATAGATATATATGAGTCACACACACACACACATATGTATTTGACAGATATAGTATCATAGTTCTGAAAGGGACCCCTAAAAGAGGACAATTATATGTTGCATGTTCCAGAGTAGGCAAACCAGACCCACAAGCATAAAGAAATTACATATATTAGAAACCAACACTTTCTCATTACTTTATTTTCCAGATCACCAGACTGGGCCGCAGCAATGTATGGCAGGGGACCGCTAGTCTCATATAAAAGACTCAATATGTGGCTGAGATATGATGTCCTGCCAGTGGTTACCTTACAGGCCCTGTGTTTCCAACCAAAAAGATCAAACAAAAATGTATTCTGGCGTTACCTTGTTCAGTTTTTACATTGATGATACTGCTATTATTTCGCACTACAGGGAAAGTAATACCAGACAATATACTCTCCTCCTTTTTATTTAATTGTATTCATGTTTATTCTTAGGTTTTTTAATTTTTAATTTTATATATTTCCATTGCTTTTATGATTATCAAATAATTGCTTGCTTCAACTGATAGCAGTGGTTGCTATTTTTAATGCAATGAGCTCTATGTGTTTATTGTTTTGTAAAATGCAAAAAAGCCAAATTAATAGCAACTTGTCTGCCAGGTTTGAAACCCATGCAGCCTTCCTTCAAATAGTTTCTGTCTTTTTAGTAAAGTCGATGCTTTGGGGGCTACAGGGAGAAATCGTTACTGATACAAAGTGCAAACTGGAACAAAGCATGCATTATTTTTATAATGTGGCACGTTGGATGTGCTATTTTATGTAGCTGGCAAAGCCACCTTTAAAAATTGTTCTAAAATATTTCCTTGTCAAAAGTTTCAAGCAGTAAGGTTGAGTTGGTCTTTAAATGGATCTCACACCACACCCTTACTTTCTGGTTCCAAATTTTGTTAATTTCTGAGAAGTTAATTTGCATGCCTATAGTCATCCTTAAAAGAGCAACAATGACTGTACTGTCCTATTAAGACCACTAAATACCGAAGAGATACCATATTAATTTTTCTAGCAAACTATTTGATTTTGAAATCACGATGAGTATAAGAACGTTCTGCATGACATTTACTCCCAACTTCAAAACCGCAGAGGATCATATTCCCAGTACAATTTAACATGTGAGATCCTTAGAAAGACCACTTCCTCCTTGGGATTTCACCCTCTGCTGTTTCTAATTTCTATAAATGTCAAGGTTACAATCAGCAAAAACAAGGAGAAGGAACACTTCAGCCATTAAATTATATAGCTCAGACTTTATTTGCAAGGCATTTCAGTGACTAGTCCTTAGAAATAGCAAGATTACATCTGACATTATTTAAGAGTAGAGATGTCCAGTTCATGCTAGAAAGATTCCTTAGTCCAGATTTGTGAACCTACTCTATTAAATTAGCACCAGAGAATACTCTCACGTCCTCATAACAATAAAACTGTTAATAACTTTGATGTGACATCTTCAACAGGATGCAACATTTGATGTTAGCATTCAGCTAGGTAAGTCGAATTGGTTTTTTCTTTATAGTTGTACAAAGAAATAAGAGATTAGTTGGCAAATTAGATCAATGATACATAACTCTTGAAACAAATGTAGACTAAGGAGATATATAGCATCAGAGAAGGTTTCTCATTCACATTCATATTACTTTCCCAGCTTCTCTTGCATGTCATTACATCTGTTCTTGTTGTGTGAAAATATTTTTCCATCCTTTTACAAGCCTGCACTAGACTTTGCATTTTCACATTATTTCACAAACCTTACACTTACTGTATATACTCATGTATAAGTTGATCTCATGTATAAGTCAAGGTTTCGGGGCCAAATGATATGAACAGTGAATAAATGGAGGGTCATTTCATTGAGGGGGAAATAATCAATGCTGGCTCAGATGGCCAGCTACCCTTGGCCACCACCACCATTTCCATGTCCAGGCATTCAAAAAGGCCAGAAATGGCCCCATTTTGGTGAAATTAAAGGGAGTCTGTATTCTTTTGAGGTTCTCCGAAAACGAACTTAAGCTCTTGCCTTTTACCCCTCAACTCCGCTGGGAAGTAGCAGCCAGCAATGAAAGGACTAAGCCATTGACATCTCCGGCCCATCCTTTGTTTGGATATTAGCCAGCAAGTCAATGCCTTAAGTTAAGAAATAGCTTCCTAAAATTTACAGGAATACTCCCAGAAATAACTCAGCAAGTGAGAGTCCAAATGTGGCAAGTAAAAACCCAGAACCTCAATCAGTGGCTGATACCAGATGAGAAACTCCATCCAGGACACACAGAAGACTGGGTGAACTGGAAGGTGCTGAACATACTCCGCTCTGGCACCACAAGATGCAGAGCCAACCTTAAGAAATGGAGCTACAAAGTGGAGTCCACGACATGTGAATGTGGAGAACAACTAACCACAAACCATTTACTACAATGCTGCCTGAGCCCTGCCACATGCACAATGGCGGAGCTTCTTACAGCAACCCCAGAGGCACTCCAAGTGGCCAGCTTCAAAGGATAGTGCCAAATTTTTAACTTTGTTTGTGGTTTTTCTACACATTCTCAATTTGCTTCTGACACGATAAATAAAAAACCCCTCTACCCTGAGAAGTCAGTAGTTCCTTCTTTGATAAGAGTAAAAGTACAATACTAGATAGATTCATTTGGGGACAGGGCTTGATTTTTTGACAAAAATGTCCAGATTTATACATGAATATATACATGAGATCGTAAAGCTGTTATTGGATTGGAATATTTTAACTCCTAGTAGAATTTCCCATGATTTCATGCCCTTCCTCCCGATCAACAGGTAAAAGAACAATTCAGATCAAACCTCCTTAGCATACTTATTTCTATCACAGGGAGTTGTTACATAAAGAAGAACTTCCCTTTTAAGACATAACTGAATGAAGAATTATGGCAAACCCTTCTAGGCTACAGGGAAGTGTCAATTGTAAGCTGGATTTGAAAGTCTAGACACGTACTAATCCCAGAATGAAGTGATGAGGAGGTTTAAACCCTCTTTGCCTGCTTGCAAAGATCCTTGCCTGCTTGCAGAAATCTAAGGTTGTGCGTGAGGACATGAAAGCCTCTCCTGTCCATCAGGGTGATCCATGTAAGAGTTCTCTTTCCCTATTCATGGCAGGAAAAGAGCAATTCTGAAAGCCAAGGAGTAACATTTTCTTCCATGTAGCCTGAATGTTTGGCTTAGGTGTGAAAAAAACAGTGGTGAGGACCTGTTGGCTTTCAGGATTGTCCAGGAAAAGGCCAGTAGCAATTGGTTGTGTACCCCTGAATGATAGTAACATATAGTTTGAAGTCTAAATTGAAGTTTATTATTTTACTAATAGACCTATCTTGTGCTTTGCTGTAACATCAGATTTAAGGCCCTTCTACACTGATCATTTACTGCAGCTTGAAACCAGTTTGGAAGGTTTATTTCCCCCATTTCTAGGAGAGATGCACAGCAGTGCTTAGGAGGCATAAGAGGTAGAAAGAGAGTGGAAATCACAAGAGCGGAGATAATCAATTTCCTCTCCCAGGGTGTCAATTAGCCCCTTGCTAGTCAGCTATGTCCTTGGGGCATTTTTGGCAACTACCTCATTGCAAATTCTACAAAACACTTCAGCAAAGACTGATGTCTACAATGTGCTCCACATTCTGCAGAGTTGATTTCAACCTGGGATCTCCTACAACACATTAAAAGGTTTAACTTGGACTTTCTGTTGACTTTCTTTAATGCGTAGGTTATCATTTAATGAGCCCCCAATGAGCTGCTGAAGTTGCTGACCGAACGGGGAGCAGGGTGAACTCCCACTGTTAGCCCCAGCTTCTGCCAATCTAGCAGTTCGAAAACATGCAAATGTGAGTAGATGAACAGGTATCGCTTCAGCGGGAAGGTAAAGGCGCTCCATGCAGTCATGCTGGCCACATGACCTTAGGACAATGCTGGTTCTTCGGCTGAGCACCACCCCCCAGTGTTGGATACGATTAGACTTAATGTCAAAGGGAAATCTTTACCTTTTACCTTTATATGCTTCAATCCATGTTGCAACATGCATTAATGGTATGCATTTTATAGCTGCTGCAGTTTCTAGTTAGTATGTGGCTGCATTAACTGGTCAGTATAGATGGAGCCAAAGTCACAAAATAGAATAGTGCCATGTCCTTCCATTGCATTGGAACCCAAAGTAGACTTCTTTTAAAAGCATGACAATGGAAACCAAAACAGATAAGAAACATAAGGTGTTAACTTCTTTCTCCCACACCCCGACAAGAGCAAGGTCTACAGGTGATCTGAAGAAGGAAACATGGGACAGCCATTCCTATAGATAGGCTTTCATCTTTGAACAACAATTTGCATTGCTAGGACAAATTATGAAATAGGCTAAAATGGATATTTGAGACCAAAAACTGCTCTGGTTTCAATTATGAACAAGTTTTCCAGAGGACAAAATGATATTTAATCCCTGCTAAAATGTTAAATCAGTGTTAAATCATCATAATGAAAAATAAAAAAAATGATTGTCTAAATGAAACAACAGTGATACAAACAACAAGAGCTAAACAATTTCATTCCAAAAAGCAGGCAGGTAAGTTAGAAAGTGTTGCATGAAAAGAGTATATACTGAAAGAATAGTCTGTTTTGTGCATGGGGTCTATTCAGCCCTTTGTCCTGTGATGACTGGGCCGTTTGTGCGTGAATAGTCGGGCTGCCCTTCCTCGTCCAAAGCCAAGATGTCTGGTATCTCGTCAGATTCGGAAGACAAGTCTGTGATGGTGAAGTCCGGAACCTGCAGAGAAAGAGCATGAAGTCAATTTGAAGATAAAAAATAAAGACATTTTCCAAAGTTTTGAGCACCTAACACACTAACCTAACACACCAGAATGAGCCAACATCCTCCTCATCCATGTCATTGGTGCAATTTCAAAAAAAAAAAAGGGGGGGGGGGAGACTGCATATTCAGAAAGGGTTTAGAATAATAATCAAGGATTAAAGCCTGGGAAGACCCCCGTCTCTGCTATGAGTTGTCCTTTCCAAGCCCTGCTTGAATTGAGACTGTTGTATGCAAAGCATTGGACTATGGGCCCTTCCTTAAGAAGAACAGAACCATACAACAGGACAATTGTAGAGCCATCTAGTTCAACCTGCTGTGAAGGAGAGAATTCATACACTCTTTGTGACTTGAGAGAGATTGGGTTTATCCAAAATCTTAAATCAGATAATTTCTATTCTCCCAAACTTGTGGACAGTACAGGAAAAAGCTGAGTAGAAAAAAAAAGTTGAATGGAAGTGGGATGATCAAAGGCAGAAATTATCTGCAATTGACAAATAGCAAAAGGTAAGTGTGCTATTGCACCCCAGCTGCTTTTAGGTCTATTTGGCATCAACGTGTCTGCTGAATTGCCTTCTTTTGGAACAAGGAACCCCACAGAATTAATGTCCATGCTGTTGCTTTGAGGCAAAAGTAACGATTTATTAACAAATCTTGGGTCTAACTCAGTGGTTCTCAACCTGGGGTCCCCAGATGTTTTTGGCCTTCGACTCCCAGAAATCCCAATAGTTGGTAAACTAACTGGGATTTCTTGGAGTTGTAAGCCAAAAACCTCTGGGAACCCCAGGTTGAGAACCACTGGTCTTAACTTGATTTCCCCCCAACAAAGTTCATATTTAAAACTTGAAAGGTAACTTAATGTTTCTGAAGCTGCCAGACGCGAATGTTTCTGAGGAGAATAGATGACAGGGCCAGAGGTTTAGCACAGCTGGTAAATCATCAGCAATTATAAGGTCTATCAACCAAAAGGTTGCAAGTTAGAAGCCCTGGGTTGGCGTGAGCTGCCAACTGTCAGCCTAGCTCATTGTTTACCTAAGCAATTCGAAAACAGCTTTAGCTGTGATTGGAGAAATTAGGTACCACTAAAAGCAGGGGAGGTGTTTTACGACGCCATAAAGAAAAAAGATCCGAAAATGCTGGGCGACCAAAAGGGAGGAGGAAGTCCTGACGGCTCTTCGTCATAGAGGATAGAGCAACAGCACCCCCTGGACTCAAGCCCAACCTTCCATGGCACCAAAACAAGCTGGACATTGTTTCGAAACAAACCACCTCCTTCTGTTGTCTGTCTGTCTGTGTATTGTCTATACAACGCGGCACTGAATGTTTGTCGTGTATGTGTGCTGTGAGTCCCCTTCGGGGTGAGAAGGACGCAATATAAATAAATAAATAAATAAATAAATAAATAAATAAATAATTTATTATTATTATTATTATTATTATTATTATTATTATTATTATTATTATTATTATCCTTGCTCTCAGTTTCTGGTATAGGGGCCTCTGAGGCGCCCAATACCCAACAGGTTAACTAATAATCATTTAACTAATTGGTTGAAGTACTGGTTGTAGTAGGTAACTCGTCTGAAGTAATTGGTTGTAGGTAATATAGGTATATTATACAACTGGTTATGAAGTACAACTTTTTATATAGTATTGACTTGAATGGCTTGTCCAAGCCTGAATCTCTGGGACCAACTGAAGACACATGTTGCCTCAAGGATAGGGAATCCCTGAAGCAAGACATGTCTTCAGTTGGTCCCAGGTGGTCTATGATCTAAAATGGCTCCTTCACCTCAGGTAAAGGGGTGTGGCCAACTAACTGACACAAAACGGCTCCTTTTTCCTCAGGCAAAGGGCAAACAAAACGGCTGACACAAACCAGGAAGGTTTTTTTTTTTCCTAAACTTCACCCTCAAAAAAACTAAAATAAAAGTAACTGCTCTAAAACTATGGGCGAGAAAGCCAGGCAGAGGGATCTGGAACTGGTGCAGTTTCAGCACAGTAAGGGACAAAGGTGTAGTTCACTCCTGATACTATATATATATCGGGGGGATCAGAGTTTCACCTACTCAAGTCTTCAGCAAAACACTAATTCAGTGCTGGGCACTAGACGTCAATTTACTTATAGTAAAATTAATTTCTCTTCTGCCATCAACACTGGGAAATTATATGTACTTGATCTTCACAGTAAAATGGGAAATGGATCAGAAAAAAATGGACGCATCTCAATTTCATCCAAATGTTCAAAACAACATTTGGAATGAGATATCAGTGATATCTATACTTCAGATTTATAACAGCTTGACACCACAATAGCTCCCATGGCTCAATACTATGGAATTGTGGGATTTGTTGGTTTGTGAGATATTTTTACCCTTCTCCGTCAGAGTGCTCTGGTGCCACAACAAATCCCTGGATTATATAGGATGGAGCTATGGCAGTTAAAGGGCTGTCAGACTGCTATAATTTTGCTGTGTGGATTGGAAGCTTGCCAGAAAAAGCATTTTCGCCAGTCTTAAAATATGGTTCAAACCATCGGGAGAAAAATGAAAAGTGATGACTATCTCATAATTCATCTTTGACCCATAAATCATCCAGTGCTGTTTCTGTTAATGGAATATGTGCTGAAAATTTAAACCAAGGCTATTTTGTGGGGGTTGCTGCATGGACTTTACCTTTTCAGAGCATACAGTCCTAGCACCCAGGCTAGGACCATGTCCTCTACAACCAGATACATATAACATCTATATCAGGGTTGTCAAACTCATTTTCATACCAAAATTGGGGCCCCAGACCCAGGCCTCTAAACAACACCTCCTATCACTTTTGATTCTCCGTGGGTTTTGTGTGTGTGTCAGGAGCAACTTGAGAAACTGCAAGTTGTTTCTGGTGTGAGAGAATCGGCCTTCTACAAGGATGTTGCCCAGGAGACACCCCAATATTTGATGTTTTCACCATCCTGTGGGAGTCTTCTTTCATGTCCCCACATCAGCAGCTGAAGCTGGCAGAGGGAGCTCACCCGCTCTCCCCAGATTCAAACTCCTGACCTATTGGTCAGCAGTCCTGCCGGCACAAGGGTTTAACCCATTGCACGACCGGGGGCTCCCTATTCTCAGTGTTATAGATGGCATAATGGGAATTGCAACCCAAAAACACTTATGGCTCTAAGGTGGTAGAAAGGATAAAGGACATTTTAAAATACCTAAATCCAAACCTCACAATCCTGATTAACAGAACAATCTGTAGCCTTCTGCATGTTAGTGTATTACAACTCCCACCAGTTCTAGTCATGATGTCTAATGATGAGAAATACAGGATTTGGCCTACAAGCCTTGAGTCTGACATATGTTTTCTGCTTAAAAGTATTGATGGATTTCTCTTTCCAGAAATCTATTCAATGCCCTTGAATGGTGTGTATATTCAAGGCAAAGTTTTGACATGCACCACGCAAATACTATGTTATTTCTTGATAAGATTTATTGGACCAGACTTGGACTGCTTTGCATGACAATTTTAATTCTGGTTATTTTAATCTGGCGAGCGGGTTCTTAATGTATGGTTAGAATTATTTTAATTTTGTGGTTGTATTTATTATGTGTTTTATATTATATTTGGTATCAAATTGTTGCCTGTTTGGAAACCGTTCTGAGTCCCTCCATGGAGGTCGAGAAGGAACAGGTATAAATATTTTTAATAAATAATAATAAATAAATAAGTCAGTGTTATAGCCGTTAGCTTCCTTGCCAATAAGTTCAAATCAGAGACTACTCTCTTTTGGGCAGAGAACAAGGACATCTTCTATGTGTTTGTGCATCCAGGGAGTTCAATGCATGATGCCTTGTTAAAGAAGAATTTGGGGACATATCCTATGAAGATTCCCAATATAAGGCAAGGCTCAGATCTGCAAACAGTATTAAGCTAATGTGTCAATTGGCTCTACTTCACAATTCTTCTACCAAAAGCTGTTATGGTTTTATGAAAAATAGAGCAATAAAGGGTAAGATCTAAACCAAATCTGATATTTAATATTCTTCATAATTTCAATTAAATTAATACATTGCTCAAAGGCTAACATGTTCTTTAAAGACAAGTATACTGTGTTATGCTATGCTATACTGTCTTAGTCTGCTGTTATCCTACTTGAAACTGTTGTTTTCCTTACATCTTGAGAAGTGAATTGGCCAGTTATTAGTGATGGGTCTTTTCAGCTGGTGGCATTTTCCCATACAATTGGTGTTCTTCATGCGATCAAGTTAAAACTTTTCATTTGCTATGGCATTTAAATGTCAGGGCACATACTGCTTTTATGATGCATACTGCAGTTGTGCCTGTTTTGAGAACTACCAATTTTATTGGCATTTGAAAGTTCAAGATTACTTCTCTGAAGACCATCAAGCCAAGGGGGGCTATTAAATTCCTATACTAAATATTTAACACGCAAGTAAAGCTTGAGGAGCAGATGTTTGTTATTAAAGTCAACTTGTTATAAAATCAACTTTGTGAAGACACTGAACTACAAAACATCTTTAGATTTCATAAACCATAATGGCAGGCTTTCTTTCCATCATTCCATCAAAGGCTTTAGGAAAACATCGAAAGTAGACTGTTTTGACAACTGCTGTGTTTTCAGGAATGTCTATTATTGCTTATTTGGACATACAAATTATATATTGCAGGACAAATGATGATTTGTGAGCAATAATGGTGATGAACGTATCCACTGCATGTCCTTGCTGAGTCCATCTTCATTCAATGAGTACACTGGGTAACAAGGAATTATCCTAAACTTAGGGTTTAGCTGAAACGATGAGCCAAGGAGAACATGCAGTCTTGTAATCAACACAAGATTTGCCTAAGTTTGGAGGTTAGCGCCCACCCTTGACTCCATCCAATCCAGCCTAAAAACATATATTTTTAAGCAGGTAGGCTGAAATGGGCCCATATGGGGTTGTCACTTTAGTTGTGATTTGAAGGCAACTACTTTTGGATGGTCTGCGTTTTAAACTTGTTTTTATTTTATTTTATGTGTTAATAGTGGTTGTTCTTATAACTTTTGTGTGATATTGTTTTTATACCCATGTACTGTTTGTGTTATGTACTACACTTGTAGTGCCTTGTAAGTCACCCCGAGTCCCTTTGGGGAGATGGTGGTGGGATATAAATAAAGATTATTGTTATTGTTATCAGTATTATTATTATTGGAGCCCCCAATGGTGCAATGGGTTAAACCCTTGTGCCGGCAGGACTGAAGGCTGACAGGTTGGAGGTTCGAATCTGAGGAGAGCATGGATGAGCTCCCTCTATCAGCTCCAGCTCCCTATGCGGGGACATGAGAGAAGACTCCCACAAGGATGGGAAATCATCTAAACATCTGGGCATCCCCTGGGCAATGTTCTTGCAGACGGCCAATTCTATCACACCAGAAGCAACTTGCAGTTTTCTCAAGTCGCTCCCGACATGAAAAAAAAATTATTATAAACAGAGGGTGTGTCCAAAAAAGATCCACAGTGTAATCATGATCCATATATAGCTAAAACCGAGGCCATGTATAGAAAGTCATGATTCATAGATCAGGGAAATAGATAGCTGGTAGGGCTGGATAATGACATTTTGCAGCTTGAAGTGAAACAGAAATGACAACCAACTCCCCAGTCAAACTGTATAGTACTCAAGGCCAGCCAGGTTTTTTAGGACCTCTAACTAGAAGGGCATATACAATGAAAGACTAACCATTTGTTATCCTTTCATTTGTTGGAGGCCACTGCCATGACTCTATTCAATGCTAAGTCTACTTTGCTAGTAAGCACGACTCATCCAGATATACATGAACAGTTCCACTGCTTCTTCATCCATGTGGACAAAAGCAAGGAAAAGGAAAATAGACCATTGATTACCAGAGCCAAAACCAAAATTTTCATTTGACATTACTGTATATACTCATGTGTAAGTCAAGGGCAGGTTTGGAAGTCAGAATTATGGATTCTGATATGATCTCTGGATATGTTGAGGGTCATTCTCCAGAGAGGGGAAAGCACTGATACTTCTTTCCCTGCTAATCGTTGCCATTTCCACATCCAGACATTCAGAAGCCGTGCCATGGCAGAGAGTAGAATGAGTTAGTGCTTTTGTTCTCCCAGGATAAGGGTGTCAAATCTATTTTTATCGAGGGCCACATCAGCCTTATGATTTTCTTCTCAGGGCCGTGGAATCCACAGATCAGTGGTTCTCAACCTTAGGTCCCCTGGTCTACAACTCCCAGAAATCTCAGCCAGTTTACCAGCTGTTAGGATTTCTGGGAGATGAAGACCAAAACATCTGGGGACCCACAGGTTGAGAACCACTGCTACAGATGGAGAATCCATGGAAATAGAGGGCTAACTATATATTGTTTACATAGTTGTCAGTACCCTTTAGTTCTTCCCCAATTTGGATCCCCAGGTTGTTATTAAATGACAACTCCTGTCACTTTTGTTTATCCACCATGCTGACTGGGAATAATGGAAATTGCCACCCAACAACACATGTGGCTCTGCGTTGGGGAAAGGTTAAAGGACATACCCACAAGCCTTGTATCTAAATTAAAACCCCACTATCCCAACTAAAGAGAACAAACTGCAGTCTTCTAGGTGTTCGTGTATCACAACTCTCATAAACTGTAGTCATGAGGCCTAAAGAGGAGGAATATAGCATTGAACAAAACATGTAAAATAATCACAGGATGTCTCAAACCGACACCTGTTGATAGACACTCTCTCTATAAGCTAACTGGCATTGCCCTGCCCCATGTGCGACTGGAAGTTGCTACTAACTGTGAGAGAAATGTGGTTGAACACTGTGAAAGCCACCCACTGCATGGCTATCAGCCTCCTCCCAGTACTCAAATCAAGGAAAATCTTCATGAGAACCACCACTCCCCTTAACGTTCCCCCAACAACTGCAAGAATATCCCTCTGGGCAGCTAAACCAGGAAATCCCAAATGGATGGCCCCCCATGAGGGTCTGCCTCCAGGGGCAAATGAAGAATTGGCAAGAACAGACTCGGAAGCAGAGTAGGCAGATCAAAAGACAACCTGGCAAAATAGCACTACCTAAAAGAATCCTCCACCTTGTGTGACTGTGGAGCAGAGCAAATAACCTTGTATCTGTATGCTTGTCCACAATGCCCTGCCTCGTGTATAGAGGAAGAATTAGGTTCTTGTGGGTTTTTTCAGGCTATAGGGCCATGTTCTAGAGGCATTTCTCCTGACGTTTCGCCTGCGTCTATGGCAAGCATCCTCAGAGGTAGTGAGGTCTGTTGGAATTAGGACAATGGGTTTATATATCTGTGGAATGGCTGGGGTGGGGCAAAGAGCTCTTCTCTGCTGGAGGAAGAACTGTTTAAAGCTACAGACAATGAGGTCATTGTTGCCCATTTTGGGTCAAAAATTATTTCGTTGCTTGTGTTCCCTCGATTTTATCAGTTTTATACTTGTTTTAATTATGCAATGCTTTTGACATTAAATAAAATAAATGAGGAATACAGCAGTTGTAGTCCAGGACCCGGAGGGCCACATAAAAAGACATGGATTTGGCCCATGGGCCTTGAGTTTGACACATATGGAGTATGCTCTTTCTTTTTGCCACTCTTTTCAAAGAAGGGAATGATTCTTTTTTTTTTTTCTTAAAGAGCTAAGGTATCGTATTTCCACTGACCTATGGGGGTTTTTTTTGGAGCTGATTTTTTAATTATAAGTTCTAGATGCATATATGAGTATATAGAGTAAGCAAGAGCAGCAAGCAAAACATCAGTAGAGCAACAAGCATAGATATTACAGATAAGTCATGAGCATTTTAACACTGAAGTGTTGAATCTTTAACTATTAAGTCTCGCGATTTATTATAAAATCTGAGGGACCATGAGGACTCCTGCATATGTTTACTGTAGAAGACAGGAAATTATTATAGCCGCACCATAATCCAATCAGTTAGGAAACCATGACCCAAAAACACAGGTTATAACCAAAAACTAGAATATGATGCTGGAACAACAAAGCTAAAGAAGCAGTAAGTATTTGGATGAGGAGCCACAGGGAGGAAACAAATGCAGCAGCAACATCTAGCCCATCCATTTTCATGTCATGTTTGGGGCTGATTAATGGACCAGCAGTTTGTGTTCACCCATTTTTGAAAAACCCTCCACAATAATAATTGAGTCACAGCACTCATTTTAGAATCCACCATATTTGTTTTACATAATTCAAGAGACAGACTTTGGCTGCTGAAGCATTTATTACTAATGCATACATATAAAATTACAAGGCAAGGCACTACAGAAAGACAGGCTAAACACCCATGTACAAACAGCATGAATCTTGTGTTCAGTGCACAACAGTTTAAATGGAGTTATTGAGTTGAACAAAGTCTTAAAAATGGGGAAATAATGTAAACTGTCACAGCATATGAGTAACTCTGGCAAATATCAACCATAAGCCCCATTCAGGAAGAGTGGCAATGTTTGTCAAGCTTTTTTTGGTACTATAACAAATCGGTAAAGGCACACAATACTAGTATAGTATAGATGCAAGGACATACTACACAATTTGCAAAGCAAGTTTAAAATAAAATTCCAATTATACTGCTGGAAAGTTGAAATTTTTGTCAAGTATTTTTGATCATACATCACAATAGCAGTAAACGTTTTTTAAGAGCCACTTCAAAGGTAAGATGGGGCTTTGTAACTAAACAAGGCGACTTCAACAATGTAATCTGCTGAGGTTTAGAATTCTTAAGGCACTTCACATCTTTCGCTGCTTTTAGCCAAGCACTAAAAGCTAGACTCACACAGATATCCATTGCTTTTCTCATTGGACAGTTCAGTTCAGTTCAGAAAAAGAACCAGTAGACGTTGGGCAGAAAGCAAATTTCTGCTGCCATTTAATTCCTCCAACAGGTTACATTGCAGCTTCAGCAACTAAGCCACCTTGTCATTTAGGCTACAACGTTTACATTTGCCATGCATGAAATTTATTCTGAGTTGTGTTCAGGCTGTTTGTTCTTCCGGCTGGTCTTTTTCTCCCCTTCACCTTTGTGCTCAGCATTCTGAGAGCCAGCCAATTGTGGGTAAAAGGGACCTACCAGCCAGTTGAGGGGCGTGTTGTTTACAAGGTAATCCATCACATCATCCAGTGATTCCTTCATTTTCTTCAGTTGCCCTTTACTGGTGGTAATGAGATTGTCAGACACTTCACGGAAGGAAGATGCCGACCGGAAGCTTCGGTAGACTTCTCCTGCCATTTCCCCGACGTGGTGAACCTGGTCCTGGATATTTTGTGGTAAACCCTGTATACTTGACACCAGGGTGAGGCAGGTGGTTTGAAGCTGCTGAGTCAGATTCCGTGCGATCGTCAGCGTGCGTGATTCAATGTGCTGGAAAGAAGAAAAAACAGACCTTGGGAATATGTTTATCATTGTGCTAATAATAGTTTCTGAGCTTTCACAACAAATGCAATGAAGGACTAGTAAGATGATCTTGGTAATGCATATTTCTATTTTATTTGGTGACAATCTTCCCCATGTAACCTTGGCGGTTGCCAAGTTTTTTTCTATGGCAGCCAGGATTATACAAATCCCAGTTTTAGATACAGGCTGAAACATTCCAGTACCGTTGTAGTTTTTAACTTATGTTTTTAGCCATCATATATGGCATCAAACAGTTTTAACTCTGTATTCTAAGCAGTTTCAACTGTTTTAAATTTTATCCAACTATGTGTATAACCCGTCAGCTGTGTTGACATTATTAACCTTGTACATTTTATACACCTTTGGAGAAAAAGGGTCTTTGAACCATAACAAAATATTGTTGTTGTGTTACATTAGTGTTATACTCGCTGAGCACACATCTGGATCTAATCTATTGAATGCAATTTCTCTGGATACCAGAAGGTCCAGTCCAAGGGATTCCACTTTTGGGTGGAACTACCAGCTGAATCAAGCATGAAATCATCCCTTTTCTTCATTTTATGTAGCTCTGCAAATTGCTTCTTCAGCTTTCTCCAAGTTGCCAGCTAGTTTTACCCTGATATTTGTGTAAAAATTTGGTAGGAGTGGACTCCCTTTCTAGTTCACATGTTTTGGCTTTGTACAAGCTTGATGTGCTTTCAGAGACTGAAGAAGGCTAGCAGATAATGCCCAGTAGTAGCAAGAGCTAAATTTAAGCCGATGGTTCAATCTTGGACAGGAGTTCTTATCGTTGCGGTAATTATATGGGTCAAGAGGTTAATACTCTTAACCTTGATAGAGAACTTTCAGGATACTCAGCTGTAAAGTGCTGCAATGATCGGCAAGAAAAGGTGTTTTTGGTGTTACTTTTTAACATTTTGGAGACCTCAAGATCAAACCAAACTATTAAAATATTCTAAATCAAATCCCTGCAAGGAGAAATTGCTGGGTTTTATTCCCTCCATAGTTTGGCCTACCTACAGCAAGACATATCAATTTTACCAGTAAGTCTCATGAAAGCATCTAAAGACCAAATATGTATGTGCACATGGACCTCTGTTGATTTAATGTACACATCTGAAGTCAGCTTATCAATCAGGCAGAAATGGTCCCTGATACTTAACTGCTCTTGCTTCAATTACACAAAATAGAAAGTTTCTAGATCTATGGCAGGCACATTCAGGAACCTACCTCAGCACTTTTCAAGTCATCCTCATCATTTTGGCTTGTGCTTTTTCTCCATTCTACCCAGGAATTGTATAGCTTTTGATGGGCATCTTGGAGTTTCTGGTTGGCACTATTCATATTCTTTCTGGCATATTCGATCTAGAATAGAAAAAAACCCTACATGTTTATATTTGTATTAAGTATTTTTAAAACCTTTCAGAACCTTGGTGTATTCTATACAATGAAAAGTCCATCAATACAAAAATGCTACTAAAAAGTGATGGTCCATGGACTAGTGCCAATGCAGAAGCCATCACCTGCTGGGCCTCGGAGAACTTTATCCTATGCCCTCTTCCCATGGGCTATAGCTTTGAACTTATCCCATTCCCAGCGTGATTGTTTACTGCCTGGCCACATTTATAGTAGTTTCCCACCATTGGTTGATGGGCGCTATTTTTAATTGAGTGTTAATTATTCTTTTATATTTCTACATTTTATTTAAATTGATTATTAACTTGTTTTCATTTTAAGTTCTTTTTAGGCACCTTGTGCCGTGCGTAACCCACTCTGAGACCCTTCAGGGAAATGGTGGTGGGATACAATAAAGTTGTTGTTAGATTCCTAAAGTAGATCCCATTGAAATAGGGCAACACTGAGGACAGATATATCTGTCAATTCTGGTTTCCCCCATCTTAAATTATTTTCATCACTTTTCTGCATAGGCTTGAAATTTGTTTAAACAAAATTCACATGCATTTCTCATAATTTTGCTACTCTGCCTTCCTATAGGCATTTTCCCTAATGTAATACATCACCATGTATTTGTTATTATTGTCATCATTGTTAATATTATTTTACTAAACTTTTGCTTTTATCCCATTTAAGCTTCATATTTGTTTGATTGCATACTGCAAAATTCAGGAAAATGACTATTTTAGTACAACTTAATTTTTGAGTCACGCATTAGCTTAGAAGGAATTAGGTAAACTGGCATTAAAATGTGAGATGAACAAGTTTCTCCCACATTTGCAGGCAACACACGTTAACATGTGGACAAAGGCAAGGATCAGCTGGACAAAGGGTGTTTTACTACCGGTCCCTGAGAAGGAGAGGAGCTCATGAGACAAGCCGAGTCTTTAGACAGAAATGAGAATGACTCCTCTAAAAGAAAGCCAAATCACTTTTCTCCTAAGCCACACCAAATTTGAATTTGAGAGCCTCTTTTTCATTGAATGCCTTTACTGCATTGCTTTAACACCAAGGGTGGAGAAGTGCCAGCCTGTGGTGCATTTGGAGCCAGCCAATGTTTTCCTCTCCCCAGCAGTCTGGCTTAGGGGAAAATAGGCTTCATTAGCACCAAGAAATGCTTATCTTCTGTGCCCGGTTCTGGGAGATAGGGTCAGGAAGCACAATAGGGAGGGAAGGATTAATCTTTCCCTCCCCAAATTGACTCCTTCTAAATGAAATTTCCCCCACCAGGCAGTTAGACTTAGAAAATATGCTTCTGATGGTGCCAAGTGAATCTTTTTACATTCCAATTTCCATGGAATATGGTTATAAGGAGAAAGTGAAAATGAAAAGGGATGTTGGCAGGAATGGAAAGAAAATTAGAATTTCTCTCCCGAAAGCTCTGCTTCTCTCCTTGTAGTTTCATGTGGTAGGCTTCTCTCATGTCCCCACATGAGATGCTGGAGCTGACACATGCTCCCCGAATTCAAACCACCAACCTTTCGGTCAGCAGTCCTGCCAGCACAAGGGTTTAACCTACTGCGTCATTGGGGGCTCCTATCGCAATAACACTGGATCTTTAAAAGGTCACATAGTACCACATTTTCAGCAACTGAAGACAGCTTGTCATATGCATACCATTCCTGTGGTTCAGAACAATTAGGAATGCCACACTTTCACTTGTAATAACAAAAGGTGAAGTCTATTCCATAGGGAATAGCACAGGCTAGAAAATATCAACTTTTCTCTTTACCTAGGGTTGACAGGACCTGCCTCTATCAAATTGTCTGAAAGCCCACAATTTACATCCAGTCTCTGGCATAAATTGGGTTTAAATAAATCCTGCATATATGTAACACGGTCTCACAGTTCGGATTACACCAGAAGCCTGCAGCCTGATTGACTAAACAGCCACCTGATGCTATTATAGCTGCCTGCATCTCAATTGTGGATTATTAATTACAATAGGCAGCATTAGCATTATTAGCTGTTTGCACAATACAGAGTTTAATCTGAGAAGCAGTCACAAGTAAAATTAGGGAGGAGTCTTTGGCTTCATTGAGGAGGAAGCTGAACTTGAAGCAGTTGTGCTGTTGCTGTATTTATGTGGCCTGTTAATATTGACCCTTGTGGAAATGAAACATATGTACATATACTCATACATAATGTTTTGCACCCAAGAGGGAGTGCAAATGTTCCCTTTCAGCTACAAATAATAAATTGGTACATTTTGAGAAAAAAAAAGTTCTTTCCCCCTATTAGCCCTTTTAAATTAAGAATAGGACTGACCTTGAACAAAATACTACACTTTGGTTGCAGCTACACTGTTTGAAACCACTTTATTGGTCATAGCTCAATACTATGGAATCACTGCATTTGTGGTTTGGTGCAGTGCATCAGCACTCTGACAGCAAACGCAAAAGACAATGTAAAATTACAGCTCCCATGATTCCATAGCATTGAGCAATAGCAGTTAAAGTGTTTTTAGTGTTTTAATTCTATAGTGTAGATGCACCCTTTATCACCTGTTATCATTCTTGTGTGATTCCACAACAGCTATTTCACCATCTTTAATAGTTTGATATTAATTGATTCACGTTAACAAATTGGTTTTACTTATATTTAACAATCTATTTTTTAATTTTCATGGATGTGTGTGCAGGCTAGCAACACACTTTGTCCTATTAGTTAAGGAAGGAAAAACGTTAAAATTTGTGAGTTGGATTACACATACTGCACAAAGCCCCAGCATTTATTTAATTCCTTCACAAGTAGAGCATCCCTTTTCCAAAATCCAAAATAATCCAAAACTGTTACCACAACATCTTTGCTTTCTGAAGTTAAAACTTTATTTCATGCACAGATTTTTGAAGACTATATAGTATAAAATTATCTTCAGGCTTTATGTATAAGGTGCAAATGAAATACATCGATTTCATGTTTAAAAATTTGATTTCACATCCAATTTATCACGTACATGTAAATACAGGTATTCCAAAATTGGAACAAATTCATAATTCAAATCATTTCTGGTCCCCAGCACTTTGAATAAGGGATACTCAAACTATACAAAAATCTGAAGATCAGAAATACACTTACCAGATTAACTGTGGAATTAAGTTGAGAAATTGTCTCTTGGCTTTTGATCTTTGCATCTCTAACCTTGCTTAAGGCCTGTTGGTAGGCACGTGATCGGACCTTTGAAGATAAAGATCCTAGTCGAACATAGTAACTTGGCTTCTGAACATCAACTTCAAATCCTTCCATCTTTGTAGCTTCTTTCTCTGCAGACAGCAAACCATTTGAAATGTCACTATGTTAGGCCTATACCATTTACAATTTCAAAGCTAGCAAGTGCTTCATATTTTTATTAATATTATTTCCAGATCAAAAGCCTATCTTAAAGACTCATTAAATTTGCTACAGTTAGTTGTGAAATGACCCATTTAACAATGAAATGTATTATTTTCATAAACATCTCGGCAAACCAGGCTTCCAGAAAACACTTTGATCAAAGGCCATCTTTAGATCCTGGAGTGCTGCCACAATTTGATGGACTCCATCCTTATCCAAGATGGTGTCCTCTAAATATTTTGGATTGCAATCCCGTCAGCCCCAGCTAGCACAGACAGTGGTCAGGAATTATGGAAGAAAATATTTGGTGAACTTCAGTTTGAAGGCCAATGGTGTATGTTATTGGACTGACTGATCACTCGTCCAACAACATTAGGTCACAAAATTTTCTGTTCCTGATTTGAAAGTGTTATTTTCTGTTTAATTGTGCAGGACTTACTTTGAACGTAATGGTTCTACTCCAAAAACTTCATTTTTGGGGCTGCCACAAACTATGTTGAATTGGTTGAGACTCAGTGAGATATTCATTGAAAAACTATAGCAACATGGGCTGCAGGGTGTCCCGCAAAAAACAAATTTTTGCAGTTTAATAAACTTTTCCCATGTTTTTATGATAGAACCAATTAGAAAATCGACATTTATAACCCAGGAACAAAAATCATGTTATATTTTAGTAATGTTCAGCCATAAGCAAAGCTCCATCAATGAATCATTATCATGGCAATATAACTCTTGATAATGACTACATAGTTCAACAACAAAAAATGTAGTATCTCAGTTTTAAGGTGTGTTCCTGGAGTTATTTGAGGTGCTGATTCAGATAACTGCACTGGCTATATCAGCTATAGTTCTTAGATATGGTTATCATGATCTTCTATGGGCAAGCAGACGGCAACTGGAAGATGGCATATGTTCTATAAAACACAATACAAAACTATTACGGTCACTGACCAGCAGAAGCATATGTTTTGTATCTCACTACCTAGCACTAATAGCGGGAAAGTGGTGCCGTTTTTGGAATCCGCAGGTCAAATACACCCAGAAATGGGGCAAACATTTGAGGTACCAAAATGTGTGTTGGGCAGTGAACTATGCTCATTTTTAATAGAAGGGTAAAAGTCAACATTTGTCACCAATGACTTCATTGGCTAGAGCTGCTGGGATTTGTAGTCAAACATCTGAAAGGTCCCATGATGATCCTCTCCCCCCCCCCCCCTTTACCTACTTAAGCGGGACAAACCATTTGTGCTCCCGTCTCAATGGATGAAATAGCAAATCAGTCAACAGGGTCAATAAACTTGTCCTTTAGGGAGAACTTACCCAGCTCTTCTTCTGTAAGTGGGAGGAACTGGTCTACAAGAGTTTCTGATCGACTGAGTGCAGTATCCACTCCGTTGGTCACAAGGCGCACCACCCGGCTGCCCAGGACAGTGTTGATGCTACCAATAGCAACTGACTTAGTCAGCTCCACACTGTCCTGAACAGCTCCTTTGGTCAGGTCAACAACTCCATTAATTCTTTGTGCAACAGTATCCTTGGCACCAGTCACAGTGATTGTTACAGCATCCCTTGCTCCAACAACCGCATCCACTGCATTAGCAACAACCTAGAGGGAGAGGAAGTTGAAGATGTCTCAATGCCAGCTAAGAATGAATGCAAGTAGTGTTAAGTTCTTGAGACAAAATGTACTTTCTTAGAATTGATCATCATATTTGAAATGCGAAAGATCTGTACAGTGGCTAAAACAAATAGGTATCTACTGGTTTGGTTCCAAGACACCTGTGGATACCAATATCCATAGGTCAGCATTCCTCAATCTAGGGGTCACGGGGGGGGGGGGGGTCAAAGGGCTTGCCAAAGATAATCAGAAAACGCATTATTTTCTGTAGGTCTTGGGGGTTCTGTGTGGGAAGTTTGACCCAATTCTGTTGTTGGTGGGGTTCAGAACGACCTTTGATTGTAGGTGAACTATAAATCCCAGCAACTACAACTCCCAAATGTCAAGGTCTATTTTCTCCAAACTCCACCAATGCTCACATTTGGGCGTATCGGATATTTGTGCCAAGTTGAATGAAAATACATCCTGCATATCAGATATTTACATTGCAATTCATAACAGTAGCAAAATTATAATTATGCAATAAAAATAATTTTATAGTTGGGGGTCACCACAACATGAGGAATTGTATGAAGGGGTCACAGCATTAGGAAGCTTAAGAACCAGTGCCATAGATGCTCAGGTCCCATTATACACAATGGCACAGTAAAATGGTATTCTTAATATAAAATGGCAAAATTAAGATCGTCTTTTTTTAAAAAAATCAAATAGTGGATAGTTTAACCCACGGATATAGAGTATTTATCTATGCCAGGACCCTGTTTGCTTGCACGCATGTGAACACGTTACCAATCTATAACATCACTGTAATGGTGGAATTTGGTAAATTATATCAACGAACCATTGTATTCACCAAAGTTTGGAGAAAAGTCTGTTTGCACAAGGGGCTTTTAAGATAGTTACCTAACTTTATTTTAGAAATCCTAAATGATTTGCTATGTCCTTTTTCCTGTTAATGAACTAAGCTATAAAAGGATTTCTATACAGAGTCTACAAAACTTCATGGAAATGCTGTAAGTAGCCAAGTGTCCCCTAATGTTCACTTGAAGACACTGATGTTAACTCTTGTTCATAAAACGTAGTATAGAATACTCTACAGGCACAAGAATAAGTCTGGATAAATATCCAGAATATTTGCTTTCACATTTTAAAAAAGGCATCAGTATGAAATTTGAAGAACCTGATGCAGAGAAAGTGGGTGCCAAATTCATATATGAGCCACTGGACAAATTTCTTACGTTTTCATAACATTCTATCAACTCCAGATTTACTACATTCTTTTTGGCACTGAAGTACTTTAGAGCATTACTTTTCTAACCCAAGTAGTTGGTGGGTTAGAACAATATCCTAGTTTGTAGGCAATTTAGTGAATGTGAGGCAAGCCTAAAGCATTTCTGAATAGTTTCTAAACAACTTACCTTATCAGTTGGTTGATACAGAATGGGCAACCTCTCTTCCACTTTGTCCAGTCCTATACAAGCATAGCTGTTGGCAACAGCAACTGGAATCATTAAAAGAATCTGTTAGGGTAACTTTGCATTCCATTTCTGAAATAACTGCAGGAGCTAGCTTACCGTATTTTGTTATTGGGCAACATGAAGTATTTCTGCTCTAGGATGTTAACCAAGTTTAGCATGACTACATTACTAAGAAAATGAAAGTCCCCTTTAGAGCATTAGTAAGCATTTTCTGGGCTTCCGCCAGTTCACAAGAATGAGTTTTCACCACTCTAACGGCCAGAGAGTTCAAAATAGGAACTGTTGAGTTTCCGTAAAGCATTTGGAAAGTAGGTGAAAGGGGAGGCACAAGACAGCCTGGAAGTGAGCAAAGAGTTACTTTATATGCTAACTTGAGCAAGAAGCATTTTACTCAAGCATCTCACAAATCAAAGTTCATTAAGCAAAAAGTCATTAGAAATGCAATCTTAAAGGCAACACTTCTTTGACTTCACACCCAATTACAGACTTCAACACTCATGTTTGGCCATCGCCAGTGTGCAGGCTAACCATATGAACTATTTACAGTGCGATATTGTTTGAGATGGGCATTAGAGAGCCTGTTTCCACTAAATGATACATTTCAGGTAGGCTACGGTAATGGTGAGAAAGATCAATATTTTCATGCAGCTTAGGAGATTTTCGATGTTTCAGTTCAAATGCAATTTTCAAAACTGAATCATAGCCCAAAGGTTGGGTGATAAATAGTTATGAGCGTCTTATATAGCTCTGAATATGACACAGCAGAGGCAAAATCTCAATTAACCTTTCCAGATTGATTTGTAATACCTCTGCCATAAAGAGAACCAAAGCATCCAATATGAGAGCAGGCCTGTGTGTTTGGAGAGAAAAAGTGTTTCTCCTCCTGTGTAAATAAAAGTCACTGAGAATATTTGACCAGTCACACCAGTGGTTCTCAACCCGGGGTGCCCAAATGTTTTGGCCTTCAACTCCCAGAAATCCTAAACGCTGGTAAACTGGCTAGGATTTCTGGGAGTTGTAGGCCAAAACATTTGGGGACCTACAGGTCACACTCTCTTAACCTAACCTTCCTCACAAGAAGGAAAAAAGTAGGGAGGAGGACTGGCCAGTATACCACTTTCAGCACAGTGGAGAACAGGCAAGGTATACATAAATATAATGAAATAAATATGTAAATAACAGTCTGTACACATGCCAAGGTTTGCCCAGGTGCCTACAATATCAAAAATTTAAAACGTTATGTCATCCAACCTTTTAAACACTCCCAGGAAGTGTCATAATCTCTCCTCCTTGGTATTGCTCCCTCATGAAACTGGTTCTGTTATACTGATGCCTTAGAGCAGAGGTGTCAACCTTATTTTCACAAGGGCCACATCAGCCTTATGATTGCCTTCAAAGAGCTGGTTACAAAACTGTATAAATGTAACTACCCTATTCTATCACATAATAGTTGCACTTTTATTCCTTTTTTGTTGGCTATTACACGATGGAATAAAATTGGTGTTTTGTGTTTGCCGGTTTCTGATATTTTGAGATTTTTTAAAAAAAAAACTACCTTACCCACAAGGTGAAGAAGAGGAACAGAGAGCTCCCCATTTGTTTAAACTGTCTTTCAGGGGAAAATGAAGGAGAATGCTAAGCCAGTATACCTGAATGAGATGCATATTGATGAAATGCAGTCAATTAATGCCTTCCTTTGTACTGACAGGTACAAATCAACCAAAGGAACAAAGGTGATATTGTGTGCTGTTGCATTTAAACAAATTAGGACTGGTTGGCTTAGGAATGCTGACTTGTTTGCAAAGAAGAAATCAGGAACCCAGATGTAGATGTCTTATTGTTGTATCCAGGTGTTATATTCACTTAAATGGTCTGCAAAGGACAGCAAATAGTTCCCCACAGTAAGCATAATAAGTAAGGAATTCTGGCTTATTGTTCTGTGAAGCCAACTGCTATTTGGACTTCAGACCTATTTCCAATGTTTATGCAAATATTCTGAAATCCAACACACTCCTGATGCCAGTCACTGAGATAAGGATGTGCAACTCGTACCATTCTCTGAATCACTCCAAGAGACATAATGAAGATGTATGGTTAATTTGCTCCTTCATATGCCAGCCAATGTTTTATTATCATCTTCATGTACGTTTGTTAATTTGAAGTACAACAACAATCCCAACAATATATTGGTGCTTCCCTGTCTGATCTCCAAAAAGCATTTCTTACTTAGCAAGGTTAACCAAAGTTGCTAACTACTTACAAGACTTCTAAACTAAGGGTAGTACTTCAGTAACCTGGCTCAACATATTGCAAAAAACTGGATTTCAAAGAGATTCAAAACTAAGTATGCCTTACTTTGAGGCTCCAGCTTTTGGATGATAGGCAGAGCACTGGTCACGGCCACCGCAGTGATGGTCTTCACTCCTTTTTCTGCTATCTCACATACAGATTTCAGGTAGGGATGGTTATCTTTTGTGCTGACATAAGCCGAGGAAACCATATCGTAGGTGGAGCTCACCAGGGGAAGGCTGGCTACCCGGGAGACCACATTCTGTAAATAATAAAGATGGGACAATTAACTCACGTTATTTCTGGGATAAACAACAACAGACATCATATTAAACTGACTCAAACATACCTGCTGTGCGTTGGTTGACACTACCGCCATGTTGTAGTCTTGAACGTTTTGGACTCTGAAAGAAAAAATACATTTGAGACTTTTAGACATCGCCTGCAAATGTGGTTAGACCAAGGGACATGCTCTCAACTTTATTGTATTTCTTCTGCATTGATCAGGCCTCACCTGGAACACTGTTCCTGGCACCATAATTCAAGAAGGATATTGATAAGATGGACCATGTCCAAAGAAAAGCAATCAAAATGATCAAAGGTTTTGAAGCCAAACTATGAGGAATGGGTTTGGGGACCTGGGTATATTTATCTTGGAGGAAAGAAGGCTGTTAGACAACATGAGAGCCATGTTTCAATATCTGAAAGGATGTCACATTGAGGAGGGGCAAACTTGTTTTCTCCTGCTGAGGAGACTAGGATGCAAAGCAATGGAGTCAAATTGGAGAAAAAGAAATTCCATCTCAACATTAAGGACTTTCTGGTGGTAAGTGCTGCCACAGAGGGTTGCTAAGTTCCTTCTTGGAGGTTTTGAAGCAGAGTCTGGATGGCTATCTGTTGGGAGTGTTTTCATTGTGTGTTCCTACACGGTAGGGGACTGGACTGGATGGCCCTTGCTATTGCCTCTTCCGATCTATGATTTTAAGTAACCTTTTTTTCTTAATTTACTTCTGAAGTAATGGCAAATTTAGAATCTAAAATCATATCTTCTATTCAATCCTTCTTAGAAAGTGGTGAGGGGTTCTCATGTCTAAACTACACTCTTCTGCTCCATTTAATAAAAAGACAGGCACAATTTGAAATGATGAGGGTGAGACTCTATAGGACTCTACCAATATCACTGAGGGCCCTTCCAAACAGCTGAATAAAATCCCACATGTAGTGCTTTGAACTGTAATATATGGCAGTGTGGACTCAGATATCCCAGTTCAAAGCAGATATTGGGAGATTTTCTGCCTTGATATTCCGGGTTATATGGCCGTGAGTTGTATACAATCCTGAGGCTGATCAGCTTTTCTTGAGAGCAAAGTTTACCTTAGTTACCAAATGCAGAAGTATTAGAGGAGGAAAATAAAATTCAGGCTAAAACTTCATGCAATCTGAAGAATTTCCTAATCTTTGGGGTAAACTTTTGCTCACTCTTACATACACTGTACAGCCAAGGCTTTGCTCAGGGACAATGCCAAGGCCGATCAATTGTGCCATGACCACAAACAAAAATGAGATACAATATTCTCTTTTAAACTAGTAGTCTTTGCTCTCTTTATTGCAATAAGATTGAAAGTCCAACAAGCCTGTTGCATATATTGTCTGGATGTGTGTGTTGGGTGTGGCACCATTTGTCAGCAGAAAAAGCTGCCCTATGAGTTATAACAACACTTCACGGTTCTATAGCTATAGCTCTGGAATATTCCTTTAGCTAATAAGAGGAGAATTTCTTGAACCTACAAAGAGAAACCTAATATCCTGAGAAGCAGTGTTTCTGTTCTCACTGATTCTGCTATTAGACAGGCAAAACAGCATTTCACAGCAGACTTTGATCAAGCAGTAGATACTATAACCAGATTTTTAACTCCCTAAAAAAAACCCCAACACTGTGCAGTTACGTTTGTTTTCAGTTGAGCATCATTTACGCTTGTGAGCATAAGTGTTTTGATCTTAAATTTTGGAATACCAGCATTTTCATATATGCAAATGACTTGGAGATGGTTCCCAAACCTAAGTATGACATTTATTTTTGTTTCATATGCACCTTGTACACATAGCCAGATGTTAATTACACTATGTAACAAAATTTGAAAAAGAAAATATTTTCCTGGTTTGAAAGTGTTATTTCCTGTTTAATTGTGAGGCACTTGCTTTGAAAGTAGTTGCTATACTCCAGAAACTTCATTGTTTGTAGCTGCCACAAACTATGTTGAATTGGCTGAGACTCTGTGAGATAGGGCCTTTCCACACAGCTGAATAAAATCCCACATTATCTGCTTTGAACTGGAATATTTTTCAAATTCCAGATAAGATGTTTATAAGATGGAAGCAAACTGAGAATACTGTTATCATGTTTAAAAAAAATCACAAAGTGGCATATAAGAAAGTATAACTTGGCATTATACTAAATTGCCTTCCACCAGATAAGAGATGTATCAATATCAAGCAATATTATTGTCCCATTAACTATGAGCTGAGAGCTCCAATAACGAAAGAAGCCATGTGTTATGGGAAAGGAAACAGAATAGATATGAATTTGATTAACTTGTCATAGGATTATTTTACATTCAAGCCTTTCTCCCAATGTCGCCTTGAGAATATTTCAAAATTTAAAAATATTCACTAAGGTGTGTATACACCAGGCACGGGCAAACTTTGGCCCTCCAGGTGTTTTGGACTACAACTCCCACAATTGTGGGAGGACTACAACTCCCACAATTGTGGGAGTTGTAGTCCAAAACACCTGGAGGGCCAAAGTTTGCCCGTGTCTGGTATACATTGAAATTAATGCAATTTGACACCACTTGAACTGCTCTAGCTCAATGCTATGGGAGCTTGAGATCTGTAATTTGGGATGACACCAGGACTTTTTTTTTTTTTTTTTTTGGCAGAGAAGGCAGAAGACCTTGCAAAACTACAATTCCATAGCATTGAGCCATGGTAGTCAAAGTGGTGTTAAACTGTATTCATCCCACCCTGAGTCTTGTTTTCTGACTCTTAAAAGATTGTATAGGATGCAAATGAAGGACTGCTCCAACCAACCTTTACTGAAAACCTTAGGCTACTACAGCAAGCTTCCTGACTTGCATAGAACATCTCTCTATAGACAACCATGAGTGCTGGTGCCTCCCCAAACTACAACTCCCAGGATTCCATGGAAGGCAAGCGGTGCCCAGCCTTTCATTTCTGGTGTAGATACACCCCAGGAGACTGTGCAGACTTGGCAGCCTTGCCCTTGGAAGGGCTCATCCAAAGAACCAGAGGCTTCCTCCCTTTCACCCAAGAGAAAGAGAGTAACTCACCTTGGGAAAGACAGGGTGGGTGCCTAGGAAGTACTGCGCCTGCGCAACCACGCGCCCGACTGCTGCCTCGCGCCCCGGCCTCCCCGGCAATTTATGCAGCCCGGCGGCCCCCTCGGCGCGAGATGGCTGCCCCCGAGCCCCGCCCACGTCACGTGACGCGCCCCGGCGGCGAGGCCCCGCCCAGCGTCAGCTGACGGCGCGCCACCCAAGGAAAGGGTTTCTCCAACCTCGAGACCTTCCATCATTCATCATTCCTGCAGCTGTCATGATTATTATAATACCTTAACCCTCTCTGAGCTGTAGTAGGTCTTTTGAATTAAAGCCACATTGTTTATGATGTTATTGTTGTGTGCCTCCAAGTCATTGCCAATCCAGGGCAGTCCTAAAGGAAAGCAAATTGCACTATGTAACACTGTTTTTGTTCCTGGGTTATAAATGTCACCTCCTAATTGGTTCTACGTGTCATCCAAACATGGGGAAAGTTTATTAAACTGCAAAAAAACCCCTTTGTTTTTGAGGGACATCCTGCAGCACATTTTGCTCTAGCTTTGCAGTGAATCTCTCATCCAGTCCCAACCCATTCAATATAGTTTGTGGCAGCCATAAAAATAAAGTTTCTGGAGCATAACTACTTTCAAAGTAAGTCCTGCACAATTAAACAGGATATATATACACATACATACATACATACTAGCTGTACCCGCCACGTGTTGCTGTGGCCAAGCTTCCCTCCCTCTTTCTCTCCTTTTTCTCCTTCCTTCGCTCCCTTTCCCTCCTTCCCTTTTCTTCTTTCCTTCCTTCCTTCTCTACCTCTTTACTTCCTTCTCCCATTTTTCTTTTCCTTCTTCTTTCTCTCTTTCCTTTACTTTTTGCTTCCATCCTTCTTTCTCTTTTCCTTCTTTCCTTCCCTCCCTTTCTCTCCCTCCTTCCTTCTTCAACTCTTTCCTTCCTTCCTTAGCTTCCTTCCTTAGCTTTTTTTCCCTCCCTCTTTCTCTCCTTTCCCTCCTTCCTTCACTCCCTCTTTCCTTCCTTCCTTTATTTTCTTACCTTATCTCCTTCCTTCTCTACATCTTTCCTTCCTCCCCCCTTTCTTTTCCTTCTTTTTTCTCTCCTTCCTTCCTTTGCTCTTTGCTTCCATGCGCCCTTCTTTCTTTCCCTCCCTCTTTCTTTCTTTCTTTCTTTCTTTCTTYCTTTCTTYCTTCCCTTTTTTCTGTATTGTCATTTAGCTTTTCATCATTTYGCTTTTGGGGTTTTTTAAATCCTTTCCACTGTTTTTTTGGAGGGGGGGATTATGAGTGACGGTCACTTGTTGGTCTGTTAGGAGTATAGTGTCCAAATTTGGTGTCAGTTCCTCCAGTGGTTTTTGAGTTATGTTAATCCCACAAACAAACATTACATTTTTATTTATATAAATATATATATGGTATAATAACATAGTATAATATAATAATACGTAATAATATAATAATTGTATATTAGATGTAACAATACAAATAATATTKCAGTATAGTGTAGTACAATATAGTAATAATACTAATATTGTGCTATGCTAATAATATAAATACATTGTATATGTGGTGTGGGTTAAAGCRCCACATTGTATATGGTGGCGCAGTGGGTTAAATTGCTGAGCTGCTGAGCTTGTTGACTGAAAGGTCACAGGTTTGATTCCGGGGAGCGGCGTGAGCTTCCGCTGTCAGCCCCAACTTCTGCCAACCTAGCAGTTCGAAAACATGCAAATGTGAATAAATCAATAGGTCCCCCTCCAGTGGGGAGGTAATGGCGCTCCATGCAGTCATGCCRGCCTTGGAAGTGTCTACGGACAACGCTGGCTCTTCGGCTTAGAAATGGAGAYGAGCACCATAACCCAGAGTCGGACATGACTGGACTTCAAAACCTTACCTTTTATATGTGGCATAATGAAAATCACACATAGTTCACGTTTTATCAATCCACACACTGTCTTGCCAGAGAAAGAAAAATATGCCAAGCAGATGAACAGTAAAAAACTAGTAGTTTACTCTTTGTAATGCAGAGCAACATATATACATTCATGTGAACAGTTGCATTGACTCACACAATGTTGTTTTAGAGATTCAAATGGGTCAAATGTGGAAAATCTCCTTCCAGCAGCACATGAAGCAAGAACTCAAACTGTCTTTCTCTTTCTGAAAGCACCTGCTCAGCTCAAGCCTAAAAATGTAACTGTTGCCAAAACTTCCAGGCTCAACTAGTACCCCGGGCGTGGCCCAATCAATCACCTTCGTGCTTTGCATTTCCAGTTAACACACTCACCAACTGATTTCTTACATGATCCAACAGTATATACATATAATATTGATTATAATATTACATTGTAATACAATATAATAATATACAATAATATTGTAATATAATAATATTAATATGGACCTTACACCTTACTGGCTTTCTAAGGAACATGGCTCTCTTTTTAAAATACCGGGGGGGGGGGGGGGAAAAAAGCAAAGGGCAGGACCTTTCTACACTGCCATATAATCCAGATTATCGAAATAGATATTGCACATCTGCTTTGAACTGGATTATATGAGTCTACACTGCCAAATAATCCAATTCAAAGCAGATAATCTCGATTTTATATGGCAGTGTAGAAGAGGCCATAGAGGTCAAAATGAAAAATACTAAGGAAACAGAGAAATTGATCATTTCTCCATTGGAACCAGAAAGGTGAAACAGCTATCTAAGTGGAGGTAATTTTCCTTTTCTGGTAAGGGTGCTACCAGTCGCTTTCATACACCATCTTATCACCTGGTTTCCCCGAAAAAAAGGGAGGACCAGCAGGGTGAATCCGTCACCCCACGTGCTGCTCCCTCTCAGCAATTCCGCCCAAGTAGCAAGAATCCATGCTGGCTCCATTGGTGGCAGCACAACATGGGCAGGCTCCCATGCTGGGAGGGAGACCTTGTACAATGCTCCACCCCAGCTGTAGCAGTTAAAGTAGTGTCAAACTGTGTTAACTCTACAATGTAAATGCACCCTAAGAAAGCTCCAGAATTATGAAATGTATCGAGAGCTTTGGAAGGATCTATGGCAGTGGTGCCGAGCCTATGGGATGTGTACCAGAAGGGGCATGCAGTGCTCTCTCTCCTGGCATGTGTGGCTCTGCACTGCCACCCCACTTGTGGGCAGTGACGTCGTGGGATGAGCAGTATGCTCACCCATCACTAGACTGCCGAGGAAGCATCCTAGGATGCTTAAATTGCCCTGTCTGATGAGTTCAACATGTGGATGGAGTTGATCTGGGTCCATTTCAAGAAGGTTTTAGAACCAACAAAAATGTCTTGCTTGCCTTGTAGTATGACTTTTGACAGGAAAAAGATAGGAGAGATGACAGACTTGGACCAGTAATGATGATCCTTTTAGAGACTGAGGGCCCAAACTTGGGGGGGGGGGGGGCAGGAGAGTGGGAACATTGCAAGGGGGGGAGAGGTCATGAGTGTGTGGGAGGGGGGCAGTGCCATGGCAATTAGAGCAATATCTACATGCATTGACTCTATTGACACACTCTGAGTGTTTCCAGATGCTGAGCTTCCCATACTAGCAGTTGGAAGGCCCAAAGTACCTTATGTTTTCTATGGTAAGAAAAAGGTAGAACTGGTGAAAAACAAGAGGGGTCAAATGAAGAATGATGTCATCAAGACCTGAGACAGGACTAAAGTGTGCTAAAGGTTGGCCTGAGGCTCTTCAGCCTTGGAAAAATGGTTTTTCATTAGCTCTGCTCCAGCATTAATGGCTTATATCAGAAGGCTATGTTTGCCATGTTCCAATGCTCAAACATGAAAAAGATACAGATGATGATGAGGTATCTCTTAAAGAGTAACTATTCTTCTCTGTAAATCCTTTCAAGCTAGAGGACATTGCTTTACCTGAGCCTTTAGATTTAGAAGATTTGCTCCTACGCTATTCATGATACACTGTAGTAACCAAAGACTGCAGAGCAAAATAGTGGTTAGTTAAGATAAGGGGAATCTGTAGCTTCCTTCCAGGTGTTGAATCTCAGTTATCATCATATAAGCTAATAGACTGAGTCCAGCAATAGCTGGAGGGCCATAGTTCTTCCTCTGCTTTAAGGGCACAGGCAGCAACTCAATGGGATAGATACAGCAATACGAGTAGTCTAGCCAGATTTTAGGAGGCCATACTCAGAAAGCCTGCACACTTCACTAAAGCAGCAGTTCTTGTTCTAAAGGTGAAAACACTCCAACTTTCTCATTATCTTTAGTCCAAGATCCCAACTGTCTTATCTAAACTAGACTCTGCTGTATCTGACTTGGCCTAATCCTAACAAGATATCCTTTTGCCTTATCTTCCCTCATGTTGCCCTATAGTTCGGTGACAGTGTTGCAGCCTGCTTCCCCTTTGACCTCAATCCTTGGCCAGAACAAAACTGCTGCTGAATGATTTCTGCCCTGCTCCTTGACCTTTTTTTTATTTGGTATCTT